GCAGTTCTAGGTAGACATCTAGAATATTCTTTGTCCACAAAAAACAGTATTCTCGTTGTTTTGATCAAGTATAGGAAGACAGCCGTTCTAGACATCAATGTGGATTCTCTTTGAAGTTCTGTAGCTCGTAAACAAGAGTCAGATACAAACTCAAAACACAGAATTTCTTTGATCCATTCCATAAGACTAGTAAGAGGAAATAAGCCGTAAAATAGCAATCTTTCGTTTCTTCTGTTCTCATCCATCGACAAAAGCCACAGTTATACAACAAGCCAGAAACAGCAGTCGGAAAAAAGATTATGGTTTACAAGGTATTCAGAGTGGACATGTATTGTTGGTCAGATTTCGCAAAACCAGTTCGTTATTGACGTATATTCTTTGTTCATCAATGTTTCGTTGCGTAAGAGAGTTTATCACAGGTCTGACGTCATTGCCAGCCAGAATGGAAAAACCTGAGGGTCTCATTTTACCACACGCAGAAAGTAGTTTACCTTAGGAATACAGTCCATGGATAATGGCACTCTATCGCTCTGCCTGGTCCGCAAAGCCTTATCGTACCTGCTGCCTAGTAAGTTGATTTGGTTTGAACTGTTCACCACAGAGCTACAAAATGATGTGTCACAGATCATTAGGAGGAGGAGATTAACCAAAGCAGACCTTCGTACCCGAGAAGTCCATCGTCGTGCATGGTAAATCGAGGAGAACTGAGTTGTACCTTAACAAACCTCGTGTATACATACGTGTGCTATTCACATACAGCCATACTTTGTTATAAGAACATTTCATTTCGGGCATATTCGGTGGCATATTTCAGGCCGAGATCAATCGTTGAGAAGTTTGGGCTGAAGGGTCTTTTTTCGACTTCATTCAGTCTATTTGCCAAATGGTCCACGAATGACGTGACCTGACACTCGCGGGGTAGACCGGCATCCCTTATAAGAAATAGCGTATCACTTTTAAAAGAGTATGTTACAACCCACACAAACAAAACCACATGTAGTGGTATTCCAAGTTCACAGGTCACCAGGTCGCTTATTTCAAGCTGGTATCTTCCTGCTGATAANTGTCACATGATATAGCATGTTTTGCCTTCAGAACAAAAGAAATATCGATTTGTCGCGACTTGTGTCTTCTTGCTTTACTAATGAATTGGAAACGAATTCATTCGCGGTGGGACTGAAACGCTTACATCGGCGGAACAGGACAAAGCTTGTGTGCAGGCACATCAGAACAGGTGTTTTGATAGTTGAGTTACTTGACGGGACTTTGGAAACAGGAACGAAAAGCGGTTTCGCTTGTTGCAGGCATATTCCGGGCACTGGTCATCGATTGTACCCTACAGCATCATAATGAGTTGCTCCGCAATTCCAACGCGAAATTTTTAGGTTTCAACGTGAAACTGGTGATTTATCGTCACAAACCAGTCACACATTAGCACTCAGAAGACCTTGACATATTAAACGAAAAAGATACTTCATAATATTGCTGAAAGCTCTTCAACGGCCCACAATATGTTTTGCCCTTCTGGGATCTCCTTTGGTAGGCGCACCCTCCGAGTTTCCAACACCCCGACGTCCTACTTGATCCCAAATTGCAGGGAATTCGTCAGACATTCTTACTTGCATACAATTTTGTCTACAAACGAGGGGCTCGGCTGAACCTAGCAGAATAATTCGCTTATAATCGGTCATGGACTATCGATGAGTTTTCACCAACCTTAGGAGTAGTGTGCTACGTCTAGACAACGTACTACGATAAAACAAATCATACTCGAAAAATTAGGTGGCCTTTCATTGCTCATTCAGTTGGAGGAGACCATTGTAAACGAGAGATTCTACTGGACTCAGTCAAACATAGTGAAAGGAAGAAAGCATTTGCTGCGGAGTTATTTATTAGAAAATGCCAACTGAACAGTTACAGACTATTGGACAGGGAAGCAAAACTCTCACATGCACCTTGTTTGCAAAAACTGAGTATCCACATTCTCTTTGAACGCGTCTTTCTGAACTTTCTTGGACATTCATTGACTGCTGCTCAAATCCAAGCAAATGCTACAAAGCGACTCCACAAATTGAGTAATAGGTCTCACTTTTCAAGAGACGCGAAGCGAAGCGAATCTAAAACGTACTACTTGCATTAGTAGGCAAACGAGTGTTTGGCGAACCTTGACGTTGCTTCTGTATGTTTGCATCTTCACAAATGACACATCGTCTACGTAACGTTTGGTAAAATCTAGCTATGGGAGTGGACGTGGGAGTTTCGGAGTGAGCAAAGTCCCAATACTTCTTAATTGGCGTCCATCTACTCGTTTGTGTGACTAACCATCGAATGTCATAAACCTTGTGTATATTCTCCCAGATGAATTTACGGTGGTCATTCAAAATGAGAGTATATTCGAGGTCCATTGTAAGGAAGAAATCTTAAAAAGTAATTGTGTGTTTCACTGTATATTGATGGTTACGTTTTTATCTGTTATCGCTCTTGCAAATTGGAATCCATCTGTCCGGGCAAGTTGCAAGACATTTTGTATAGTCGGCTGAACTATTTCCACAAGTCATTTGGTAGCATCATTTTGATGTCGGCTGGTGGTAGAGGCCAAAAGACCCTTTCCACTGAAGAATACCCACACTGCTCCTGAAAGTTGTTTGAAAAAACACGGCCGGTTTCGTCCTTCTTGGAGCTCATCAACTAGGCACAATCTCCGGGATTCCACCAGTCTTATCTTCAACTTGGGATTTCTCCGGCTTGTTGACGTTTTTCCGTTCGTTAATGGATTTTATAACTCCACTATTTTCCCCCGCTTTTGAGAAGTTTGCATTTGTCGGGATCCACGAAAATGTTCGGTGCTGCTTTATGAAATGATTCCCATGAAGGAAGCTACTCACAAGGTTTCCGGAAACTTTTCGACAGCTCAACCGATTTCGTCCTACTTGGGACTCATTAGGCAGACATAGTCCCTGAGCTTCCGTCAACGCAATGTTCTACGTGAACCCAAATTGGACTGATTACGACAAATACACTCATTTGCTAATCCATTTGGTTTCAACGGAGGACTCAAGTGAATCTCTCGTTTATGATGTCCTTCAATGGATAGTGCTGCACACAGGCCGCCTCATGTTTCAGTTGGTACGTTATTCGAGATATCGCAGTACATTCTCATAAAGGAAACTATTCACAGGGTTGAAGAAAACTCTTCGACAGTCAACATCATAAACAAGAGATTCACTTGAGTCTCCCATGAAAACCAAATCGATTTGCAACTGAGTGTATTTGTCGAAATGCTTCCTACTTCTAACATCATCGCCATTCCAGTTTTTTCATATGAGAGTGAAGTGGCTACATCTTGATTGGCTCATTCCTGATGTGGGCATTCAAAGAAGTCACGAGTAAATAAACTTCTTTAGGCGGTCGAAGAAATTACGTTACTTACAGGTGAGTGAACGGATTTTGAGCTGGATGAAGAATCGACCGTTCGTCAGGTCACTTACATCAAAAACAAGTAAACTCGGAGCACACACCAAACCCTTTCGACGGCCATTCAAGTGACGCTGAAGTTATCCACAAATTCACCTGTTTTCGGTAAAAAAAAATCTTTCGGTTTCTTCGTTGAAACTGATCAGGTCTGAGCTAGGTTTGCCTGTTCTGTGATTTTTAAAGAACTGAGTGCTCCAGGAAAGTTTACTTCGGCACAACATTTTCACTGAAAATAGGCCAGTGTTTTCCAAAGACTTGATATGAAACTTGGCTTACCGTTCTGGAGGACCAAGGAAGTGACGAGTAGTTGTTCTGCGCAGATATTTCACAGGCTGTTTTGGAAACCAGACATTTTTAACAGAACCTGTACATCAGATAAACCAGTGATTGGAACGGAATTTCAAACTCCACTTCTATTCCTCATGTCTTCTGCCTCACTGTGCTCCTCCGTCTTCCGGTGTCGTTTCTGGTCTTACAGAAACTGACAAGTAATACGGAAATTGATCTCAAACCCCTGGCTTACGCTTGCATCGCAAGCTAACTTTTTTCCTCAGCACTCACATGATAAGTTCGATGACAGTAGGCAGTGGGTGTGGAACGTCACAAGACTATTCGAGCTTCGGTAATCCTGCCACAACGCCGGAAGTCTATTGTGTTTTTTAAGTTCATCTGTATAAGTATACGAATATTTCTACCTGTAACCAAACTACAACGTCTTCAAGTTTAGACATACGCACATATGGTCAAAGAGCTGGTAAGGACGCTACTTTGGATAAGAGAAAATAAGGCTACCGATCCGAATGGTGCTTGGTGTTTGAGCGCTCGCGTTGGTACCTGGTACAGGCGATAAAAAGGGCTTTTCCTACTATGAGGAGATTGGGTTGTGGGACCTTCCATCTGCTTAACTCAGAGGGAATTTACGGCGAAGGCATGGTAAAGTCCATTGTCGGGACCGAAACAGCGCTTAAATTCCAGATAAGCGCTCTGTACAGGTATGTACGTTATGGTTGAATTGTTTTCAGGTGCAAGCATGATTTTACTATCTCATTATATCAAGGTCATAATAAACCCTGCAGAAAGACTGAAATGTGTTTTTCTGAACTCCCCATGTGTTTCTCGTCACCTCTTGAAATGTAGTTAGTTTGGCACCCTCGTTAGAAAAATTTGATAAGTACTATCGTTTTCAATGTTATTTTACACAATAGTATATCCGTACATTTCTCTGAGATAAAAAAAATTGGGTAAAATGATTTCGTTTCGCTTTAGAGAGATTTTTCTTTCAGCTTCATAAGCAATAAGGAGATCAATTACTCACACACGTCACACGTCACACTCAGTAATTCGTAGTTTTACGTGACTTTGTCAAGTCACACTTCACAGGTTTTATTTCAGCAACTCATACAAAAATGCTGGATTCGTAATTTCAAATGTACGGAACGCCAAATCCGTTTCAGAGTGTCACAAAATGCTTCGCGAAATTCCGAAGACATTGCACAATAAATTACAAAAGTCAGACAGTTCTTTACTAGTGCCAGGCAGTCCAAGAGATCCCCGAATGCAAGCAGAAGACATTCGCCGAAATGCGAGTATCGTTTCAACACAAGGATAAGCGCGGTGGGCAGTTCTGATGGTATAGCTAAAAGGATTACTATTGTGAGCAACACAGTGACGTGCCGATGAAGTCGAAGTCGTTGTTTGAAAGATCTCGACATCGCTTTCCCGTTAGGAACTCTTTCTCCATGGTCTGCTATATACGAAGGGTGAGTGAACACCACAGCGCAGCGCAGGGCTAAACTGTGCTTCAAGTGAGCTAGTATACGCATACAAAAAAACAAGATCAAGAAACACGGAATAATTTTACCGACTCCGGCGACAAACCAGAAGTTGTATGACTCTGTCGAAGAATTCACATTCCTACTCGGTCGATAGCCAATCAGTGCAGCACGCACTGTGCAATTGTCTACACAAAGCTGGTTCAGCTGAAAGCCGGACGAGAAGGTGTTTTCCCCAAAGTGTGGTTGATAAATCGTTCGGACCTTGAGCGTCATATAGTAGGGTATGGACAAAACGAGTATACTAACAGTTACGATCAACAGCAGTGGTCTTGTTCGGCTCCGTTCAAGTAGATCTGACTTCTTTTTGCAAAATAGAAACTCCATACAATATTTCTTTGTAGATAAGTGGCTCACGATTGGTTTTTTGTGAGAATTCTGAGTTTGTGACAAGTTGGTTCTTGTCATACGAAGTGGTAAACATAAAAAACGCGCGGCGTAGTTGCTTCTCTCTCGTTTTGATCCCTGAGATATTGCTGTAGAAGGGGACTGATCCTCGATGGAACCTCTGGAATACCCACTTTTAGTCTCCAACAACAACTGTTCATCAATGCAGTTACAGTTAAATGGTGCACCGTCCTCGTTTTTATTGTGTGAGCTGACAAAAAATGCACGCCCACAGTGGACACATATACGTGTGACCGGAAGATCTCGGGGTACAGTGATTAGTTGTGATACGGAAGGTCCAATTCTCTGACTGTCTTGTGTTTGCAACGCCTTTCGCATCTCCGACATTGTGCGATTCAAATCACATATGAGCCACCAACGAAATACGGCCAACACTACGCCGAACCACATGGAGCATGTATGGCTGGTTAGGGTAATAGCGAACGCAACCAAGAAGAACACAGCCAATCCCCAAGAAATAAAACCGTAATCATTGGTAGTATGACATCGCCAGTCGTACCAATCGTGATGTAAGAAGGGGTAATCGCCTTGAGGTTTATTACATCCTGGTATGCTCCAAATATCCGATGAAACGTTCCACAGATTCATCGTGATCTGGTTTGTGCCCGAGGATATTTTACTCCTGGCTAGATAAAACCGGATGAGTAGAGGTATCTGACTCAAGGACACAGATAGATCCATGGCGGCAACACCAATCAAAATTGTAGTGGTTGGGCGGCGAAGCCAGCGTTTGGACAAAATGACAGCGCTAAACACATTGGATAATACCGATATACAACAGATTGTCAGTCCAATAGGGCCGTAAATAGCTGAAAATATCTGACGGAAGTGCATGAGTGCTGGGTAGTCATGATGACACGTTGTGTATTCCCTATGTATACCTTCACACAACAAAGAGTAAATGTTTGGCGCACTGCAATGGTCACTTCCTTGCATGGGACGTAAGCATAACACTGATTCCCAAAGTCAGGTGGCCTTTGGGACTTTTTCTGTGGTGAGCTCAACGCTGTCCAATCATGCTTGAGTTGCCTTTTCGCAAAATCTCATTGGTGGATAGGACAATAACGAATACGTTCAAATGGCAACGAGTGACAAATCACGTGGAATATACAATTGAAGGAATAGAACCTCGTAAAATCATCGAGCAACTGAGATTACCTCAGAACACGATAGTAAAAAAGGCGTGCTTATTTTGCTTTATTGGCTTCCAAAGTGTGGGCTGATCTGAACGCATCATTTTAGTATTCAAGTTGCTGATCAAATTAGCGATGACTAATTAAAATTTCCCTTAATTTCCGGATTTCTGTTTCTCATTTGTGGTGATAATGAAGTGGATTACTCTCGGTTAGCGAATATACAACCATTTGCAAAATACTTTGGTTTTTCGAGAGACTAACCTTAAACCCAGCTGAATCTCTCGTTTGTGATTTTCTCAGACAACTGATGAGCCCCGAAGAAGAGCGGAAACGGTCGTGGGCTGTCGACGGATTTTCAGCAACCTTATGAGTAGTACATTACAAATATATAGATGTATCGCGATATCTCGAATATCGCAGCGACTGAAACGTGAGGCATCCTAGGGCAGCACATTCAGTTACCTGAGAACATCATAAACGAGACATTCAGCTGGGTTCCAGGTGAGTCTCCAGAAAAAAACAAATTAGTTTGCAAAAGAATGTATATTCGCTAATTTCGTGCAATTTGGTTTCAAGTAGAACATAAGGTTGACGGAAACCCGGGGACTGCGCCTACCTGATGAGCCTCAAAATGGGCGAAACCGGTCGTGGGCTGTCGACGGATTTTCAGCAACCTTATGAGTGGTACATTACAAAGATGGATTACTCTCACTTTCTCATCGGCTGTTCTGTGAAAATTTACGATTGTTTAGGTTACCGATGCGGAACTTCCACTCTGATGATTCCGAATGTCGAAACGAAGGATTGGATTCAAACGTCTATGACACTGTATACACAAAGGTAAGCAAATTTACACAAGAAAATCCAATTTTCCACGTACATGGCATCAACAGGTGCACAAGTATGTCACTGACCGGGACAGTGCAGTGCCAAGGTCAGCATACCAAACAACCACGAGGGGAGTTTTTACCTGTGTAGTGTGGGTTGTGGTCATCTCTTCTGAGGACAGTCTCGTAATTCCGATTGGCGGTACAATCAGACGAAACTCATGAGAAAGCAAGCCAAGGTAGTCTCAGCAAACAAAGCACGAACACGAATGGGTGAGCAGGTCAGCTGCGCACATTCACACACATGCCAGTAAACCACAGTCGGACAGGATGACCTCTGCTGCCAGGTGAATGGCGGATACGTACGATCAAAACACGTGAAGGTAAAAAGTACACGAGTGGAGTAAGCAAATCAATGGGGGAATTATCATAAGGTCAAGTTAGATTCAACAACGATCAATGATTTTTATGCTTCGGCCAAGGGTCGGTAAAGGTATCCGATACTAGGTCTGGGCGACCAGGCTGATAAATGCTAAGTTTAAAATATATGTGCCCAGATGCTTCACCAAGCGGTCGCCACTGAATAGTTATCCCAACCTAAGTACAAGTACAGTACGAGTACAGTTAAATCAATTAAATAGATAAAATGGTTTATCCGGGCATCATGGCCCGTGCACAGTGCACTTTTGTGGTAAGCTCTTTGGAACCAAGACGCAAGCCCAACGCTATGCGGAAACCAGTACCGTCAAGTCTACTAAGTCAATTTTTTCTCTAATCTGACAGACAGACAGTGCATGTCACGGAGTAGATTAATATCAGATGGCATAGCATTATCGGTCGCATGGCCCCAGAACTCGGCGGATAATCTAGCTTGATGGGTATTTTAGCCACAGAACGTTCTGATGCAAGACCCTTGCACCAAAATGGCGAATGTTGGTCGCTCAGGTAGCATAGATGGCCGTTTGTTTGTTCGCTGAGCTGGGCAACTTGTTTGAGGAAGTTTCATCCCCAATCGAGTTGACATCATCAGTGAACTGTTCACGGGATGATTGTTGCTGTAGTTCAGAATCTGATCCGTCTCTTTCCGGTTTACGAAGGTTTCCAGTTTCCCGTCCACTTTTCGTCCACTAAAAAGTTCCAGTTGTTCCTCTTTGGTCCGACTGTAAGCTTGGTACCTACAAACGTGGTGTTGTGTAGTTCGTGTGCACTGCGTACTGAATCACGTTTTGTGACGTAGCGGATCAACAAAGTTCACAAGTCAGAACCGAGAGAGGTGAAGGGAAGAGATCACTCCGTCATAGAGCAAAATACGAAGGCATGGGAGGACAATCTCAAAGGCCACGTTGTCATCGATCACCCAGGACACAGGATGACACAGCAACCAATAGAGTCTCTACGTTATGACTGTTTCGCTGGTTTGAAACTATCTGTATCATGAGTTAGCATTCAGAAAACTTTTAAAATTTCATAAACGAGAGACTCATTTGAGTCTCTTATGAAAACCAAGTTGATATGCAAATGAGTGTAGTTAATGAAATCAGTTTAGTTTAGGTCCAAGTAGAACATAAACCGTACGGAAACTCGGGGACCGCGCCTACCTGATAAACTCCAAGAAAAGTGACACCAGTCGTCGGCTGTCGAAGAGTCTTAAGCAACCGTGTGAGTAGTTTCTTTCTAGAGGCTTCATTTCGAAAGAAAAAAAAAAGAAAAATTAGGAGNATTACAGTTTTATGGATTTTCAGGTGATATATAATTAGTTGTTTGAAATAAAGTCTGGAGCTTTGGAAATGCGGATCAACCATAGTCAGTTGGTGCTTGAAAGGGGAATGTTTCCATGGCATCCTCTCAAATGTAAAGTAATACACTGGACGGGTCACTGTACCGGTGTGTTTTGAACTGTTTCTGCCTCCCATCTCATCAGCTTACTACACTTGTCACATGATGGAGCGATTCAAACTTTATCAGCGGACGTTCTTTGAGTTCATCCATCAAGATAACTACGAATAGGTAATGGCCCACTTCATATCCTGTTCATCGGTCGTCCATGCTTTCAAGCAGCTTTCCCAAAACTGCTCATCCCCGTCGTCTGGAATTAGGTGGTAAGCCACTCAAATTCGACGTGTTGCCAGAAAAGTCAAAGCAAAACTTAGAAAAAAAGAAAGCGTCCAGCTGTAGCACCCTTTCGGTGCCTAGCTGCCATGCCACCCAAAGGAAGCACGAGGGCTGGGATACTGCCAAGTTGCTCAAGCCCAGATGGGGGAAGTTCAGAGGCGGAGGTCGGATTCGAACCATGGACCTTCCGGTCAGTAAATTGGCGCTCTTACCACTTGGGCCGTCTCACCCCAAACAAAACCTGTGGATCAGGTGAAACACAGTCGGCTCAGTCATTTAGATTTCGGGTAAGCAGACAGACAGCAAACAAATTAAAACCGATTTTCGTCCTTTGAGCAGGAAAAATTGATCTTCCAGAAGTATAGTGTGGTTTTGTGATTCCTACTTTTATCTGTTTTGGCATGTTGTCGGAGGTAACTTTTTCAAGTCACTCTTTCTCCACTTACTGAGTGTGCTGACCGAGCCTGCAAAAAATCGTGATCCGTTTGCCAGTTTTTCTTTTTTGTACGGCTGAAGTTTGATTTTTATCGTATCTTTTCTGTTCTTACCCGAAAAGATCAGAGAGTCCTGCACATTTGAAAGCACGTATCAGAGAATGGAAGCAAGCTTGATTTGGCCTTAGGCACCAGTCACTTTGTAATTAATTAGACCAGATTTATCGTTTTGTGCGCTCTTCTCTGATTGATATTCACTTCTAGATCCTGACTTCCGTAACGCGCATCACAAAGGTACAATCCGTACCGTAATACGCATGGTTTACAATTGACTAAGCCTTCTGATGGGCCTATCAAACCATACGTGACCCCCACATGCACACCAGTTGTGTGCCACGTCATGGTGTCGAGGTAACCTGAATCGTGACTGTGATAGCACCCATGCGATGACCGCTAGTCAACTGAAAACTGCCATGAGGACTGTGCCAGGATGGAGAAGATTAACGGTCAACCGACGTAAACAAAATACTGAAAACGAGGTCTGTCCTATTCAGTTGAAAACACTCAGATGAAAAACGGATCGTGGTTTATAACAAACTGAGACTTAAGGCCCTCCAGACTACTGACTTACTCGCCACCCCAATTAAGACAGCCATGGACGCATATGATAGGTGTTGGTCTGCGCCGGAACGCTTGAACAGTCCATGTCACGTGACCAGCGCTAAGTAAATACACATCAACGGTTTCGACAGACTAGAAACAAACTTTTAGAAAGACGTTCAAGTAATACTCAAGTATACAAAGCACCCCAAATGTAGTTCAAACATAGGTAACGAAGTGGTTGCGAACTCTCCGGAATGCTCATTTTTTCAATGAATAGCGTGATGCTGTTTAGCAAAGCCCAAGCAGGAGACCGATTCGCTATTAGACGACTGATGAAATCCGTACTCTATCTGTGCCTTTGTCTAAAATGACACTGTTGGTTTTAATTCACTCTGAACTCAACGGTAATGGCTTTAATAGTCTTTTACATTCTGGATGCAAGATAAAGTGCGTGTTGAAAATGGGAATTTTTTTATTCCATCGCCTATGCCGCAACTGTTGTCAATGAGTCAAAGAAAAAATTCGCCCAAAACGGGACAGAAAGTTTCAACTCAAGCTTTCTAGCGGGAACTGGACGTATAAAGGGCAACTACTTGCATTCTCAGAATCAAAACTTTGAGGAACACAGTAGTAGTATTGACACCAGCCGCATCCGTCGCATGATACTGGTGTAGCGATGGATACTACTGATGAGGCATGCAAGTAGTATATTTTCTCGTAAA